GGACGCCGAGGCCTAGGGTAGGGGCCGGCCTGGGGTTCCAGGTGAGGCGCGGGCCCGGGCCCACCCAGCTGGGCCCGCCCCCTCGGGGCGCCCGCCAGTCGGGACGGGGAGTCGAGGGAGGGCCAGGACCCCGGGCTTCCCTGGTCGGGCGCGGGGGGCTGCGCCCAGGTTCGCCCGCCTCACCCAGGACCTCGTCGTTCCGCTTGTCTGGGAGAAAGACACCTGTAGAAAGTGCCACTGGGAACTTTTCTCTGCCCGATCCGCCCGCGATTACAGAATTTGGATTTCGGGTTTGCACAACAGTGTTGGCTTTGGGGAGTAGGGAAACAGGTGCCCCGCCCGGCTGATTGCGAGGGACACCGCGAGCGGAGACGGAGTTCCCGGCCACGGGCCCCACGTGCAGGACGCCTGGCCGGGGAGGTGGGCGACGCGCGTCTCCTGTGGTCCTCTCTCCGCAAGCGGTGGCCGGAGAACGTTACGTCGACGGCTTAGCCCCTGTCCCTGCCATCTGGGCCCTCTCCCTACCGGCCCTTTGTGCCTCCTAATCCCCGGACGCAGGAAGCCCGAGGGAGGGACTTAGGTCTCAGGGCCTTTCCCCGCCTCGGGCGGCTTTGGGCACCTCTAGGGGACGGTCCGGAGACCTAGTCTGTTTACCCGATTGAGGTGGGTTTGCGCCGTGGAACGTTGGGACTTGGCGAAGAGTGAAAAATTCTGTCTTGCCAAAGAAAGTATGCAAAGTTTGCTCTTGGCTTACTCCTGCTGGACGGTTTGTAGGCACATTGAGCTTTGGCTATGGGGAGAACTGAATGTAACCAGGATAGCGGTGCCGCTGTCTCCTGAGGCTTTCACCTGAAACAGGTGAGCTTTGGGTGAGGGGGTGGGGCTTACACTCAGGCCCCCTCCCATGGGGATCCATGTGCCAGATGCAGGGCGTCTTAATCTGGGCTCTAAGGACCCTCTGCAGAGTTTACAACTGAAGTCTTCAAAGGGGCTTCTTTCAGTGAGGGGAGCCGGGAGGGAATGAGGGTGTCTGGGAGACAAGAAACCCCAGGTGGGAAGAACAGTGGCAGTACAGAAGAGCTGTGGCCCAGCGCAGGGAAAGCCACGGTCAGAAGTGGCTTTTGAGGAAGACAGTCTGGGTCTGTGTGAGCTGAGGTACGGGAAAGGTCCTGGGAGATGGTCCAGTTTATTTTATAAACAGAGAATTAAGATTTGGTTTCCTTCAGTGATCTGCCCACAGTGCTCACTTACAGCAGCCCGCACTCTGGGCCGTGGGGGCTCTGACCAGGGCTGGCTCCTCTTCTCAGAAGTTAGACTGGGCCAGTCTCTGTGGGGCCACTGGCCAGTGTTTCCAAGGTTCCGGGGCCATTCCACATCTCTACTGTACTCCTTGAGGCAACGGAGTGTCCCCCGTGGTGGCAGATTAATATAATTTTAATAATTTAGTAATCTAGCGTTTAGTACCTTATTAATACACAGTGGCATTAAAAGAAAAATAAAAAGCTCATAATCCCAGATGATCCCTGTCGGTTTAAAAACTTAAAAAGGTAATAGGAGCCAATAGTAGGAGAAATAAAATGTTTTAGTGTAAGAGGGGAAAACGTCTCCCTCTTGCCTCACAGTCTGTCCCTAAACGTAGTGTTCATTCCGTGTTTCATTGTCTTTCCAGGCACAGGTGTAGTTTTGAATTGCGCCTGGCCGAGTTCTTGCTGTATGACCTTGGCTAGGTCTCTTAACCGTGCCAAGCTTCAGCAAGCCTTGTTTTTTACAGATGTTGACAAGAGGATGAAAAATGTCACAAACACAAATGGCCTGGCACGTAGCCAGAGCCAGGTGAGGGTGAGCTTCATAGCATCCCCACAAAGCATAAAAAACGTGGTCACTTGTGAGCCTTCGGGTGTGCCTGATGAACTGTGAGGGAACCTGGCTCCTCTGTCCAGATACCAGCCGAGGGCTCAGGATTTTTGAGAGCCTTTTAGAACTTTTAAAATGAGGACAGACATTGAGGGGCAGAGGTAGAGGGCAGTGGCCTCTCCTAACCTCATCTTGTGTTCTAGTGGCCTTTTGTAAATCCCCTGCTCCTTGGGGGAGCCAGGAGTGAGGCCTGATGGCCAGACCCCAGCTGGAAGCCTTTCCTGGGGAAGGGGCTGTAGAATCTAATCTGCTCTGCTTTCTGCTCAGGGGAGGGCTTGGTCGTACACATTCTGTGCCCTGTTGGGTGGGGGGAGGGGAGCACATTCCTGTGCTGCTCTGGTGCCATTAAGGAGTTTTTCTGAGAACTCCATAGTGCTTTCTTTCAGCCTTATTTAGGGAAGGACTTTTTGGCCCCAGGACCCTCTCCCTAGGAGAAAGTGGTGCATGGAGCTGGAAAGTTCGGAGCCTCTGCTGTCAGTCTGTGACCCCCTGTCTGCCTACCTGCCGACATCCTGGGCAAGAGTGTCCAGGAGCAATGTGGGGTTTCCTGAAGGGTTACTCAGCCTTCCAGTCCTTCCGGATATGTCAGGCAGGTACTGAGACGCCTGAGTTGGGGTGGAGAAGCTGGTGGTCCCCACTCCTGGGTTGGCTGCTCTGAGCAGCACTGGCCTCCAGGACTCACCGATCCTGAGTAGTGAGCTGGGAGAGGCCTGATTTCACCGCCAGGGCTCCTCCTGGGTCAGGGCATGCCAGGTCTGCTTGGCAGCTTTGTCTTCCCTTGCCAGGAACAGTTTGTAGGGAGAAATGGGGTGATGGGTGGGGGTCCCCCCCATGGGGCCACCAGTTCTGCTTGCCCTTCTCCAGCCCTGGCTCCCCATGGTTCCCTAGGAGACTCCCCCGCCCCACATCTGTGCCCTGTCACCCTGGGGCTTTGCCCAGCTCCTTTTGAGGTGACCTTCCCTCCCCGCCCTCCCTCTCAGAGGAAACTGGTCCTCTGAAGAGTCACCTTACTGCTTCCCCTTTCCATGAACTACAGTGAATTCTTGAGCTAGGAGAGGCTCCTCTGGGCGTGGGGACAGGGAAGCTGCTAGGGACCTGACTCTACCATTCAGGAATTCAGCAGTGACCAGAACCTTCTCTCAAAATACCTGACTCAGTTTTCCCAGGATTTGATGAAAGGGACCTCTGGGTACAGGACTGTTTGACTCTTGTAAATAGTGATATTGCTGGATTCTTCTTGCCAAGGAGCTGGATATCCTGGGGCCTCGGACTGAGGCACGGCCCACAAAGATATTCCCAGCAAGATGCCAGGCATGATATCCACATGGCCCTGGCCAGAGACTTGAGAACAGGGTAGAGAAATTCCCTGAGAGACCCTATGGTGCCCCAACCCAGTGTTCTTCGGGGTAAGTGGCTCCCAACCGGAGAAGACCTTAGCCTGGCTGATCCCCATTCAGCCCTACCTGTTCATTCATTCATTCAACAAGTATTTGCTTGTGCCGCTGTGTGCGTGGCGTGGTTTAGACACCAGGCATAATCCTTACACAAAGCAAAGATCTCTGCCATCACAAGACTCACATGCTAAAGGGTGGGGAGCACGAGTGACAGAAAATAAGTGCAAGTGAAAAATAATGTGTTAAAAGGCAACATGAGAACATGAGCTACAGAGCAGCGAATAAAGCAGGGCATGGGAGCCCTATGGTGGGGGCAGGATGCCACTTGAAAAAGTGGTCAAGGTCAGCATTTGAGATCTTGCTCCCTGGCATGTGTTCTCAGTTTTGGCTCAAATAAACTCTTATAAAAATCCAAACAGATAATTAAAAATGGTGGTCAGGGTGGGCCACGCAAGAAAGTCACATTTGAACATAGACTTGCCGGGGTG